CAGTAAATCTGAAGTCACTGGAATAAAGGCCCCTAAGAAAAAAATGTGTCAATTTTAAAGGTCTTTCCTAACTGAAGACCATTTTGTGATAGAGCCAAAGGTTAATAAAATCAGTAGTGAATGTGGCAATTTTACAGATAAGCTATTCACAACAAGTGTAGTTACTTGAATAAAAAGCTAATTCAGTTCTAAAATGCCACATGCAGTAGCAGTGAATAGCTGCTTTTAGGTGCTTTCTGGAGGAGGATAAAATACAGAATCACGGCACTCTTCTCTTGCAGCGTCCCTGGCTGCCTGTAAATTGCTGTGAATGGGGCTGTGGGCTGACAGGCTCTATTAAGACAAACTGCCTTTCTCATCGGAGAGATAAAATAAATCAGGTGTTTAGTCAAATTAAAATACTTCAGCTGGAGCAGGCCCTGGGGAGCACTGATCCACCTGACTAATCTGAGAGAAACTCAAGACAGATGTGGTTTGGGGATAAAGACGACCCCGTGAAAAAAAAAAACCACAAAAACCTGCTGCACTGTCTTTGGAGTTGGAGAATAGACAGAGTTTATAGCGGAGAGTGTCAGGCACACACTGTGTGCAATATTGGATAAAAACAGGCACATTGACTTGTAGAGAAGCTGTGTACAGAAGCCTTTTTGCTGGTTCCCTCTTTGCAGTTTATGAAACTACCTCTGTTTTGTGTGGGAGAGACTATTTTCTGGCAATGTTTTCTAGAGATTTTAAGATAGCCGGAAGGATGTGAAACAGACGACAGTTAGGCAGCTACTGATGACCTCTGCTGGCCTGGGCAGATCCTCTGGGTCTGAGCTCCTCTTTTTTTCAAGTTGATTTTATCAAAACCCAAAACATCATTTAAGACAAGACTTTTTACATTGAGCTAAGTTACCTCATAAGAGCATTCTGTCTGGTCTTTTGCCTTTAACATAGCCAGATGGTATTTAGGTTGCCCCACTGTGCCCCATAATTTGTCTTACGTTTTCAACAACTCTGGCAGTTGTACAGGTCTTCCTCGACTTGTGATGGAGTGACGTCCGGATGAACCCATCTTCAGTTGAAAATATCGTTAAGTCCAAAATGCCTTTAATACACCCCAATCCACCTAATGGGGCGTAGCCTAGCCTATCTTCGGTATGCTCAGAACACTTACAGTAGCCTACACTTGGGCAAGATCATCTAACATCAAGCCTATTTTTATAACAATAATAATAAATTATAATTTTTTGAATATCATCCCCAAACTGAAAAACAGAATGGTCATACGGGTGCAGTACGGCGAAGTGCCCTGGCTGTTTGCCCTCGCGATCGTGTGGCTGAGTGGGAGCTGCAGGTCTCTGCCTCTGTCCAGCGTCTGGAGAGACTCTGTCGTTCCCTGGTGTACTGGATACATATCACTCTTGCACCATCATAAAGTCAAAAAATTATAAGTTGAACCATTGTAAGTTAAGGACTGTCTATAGGGGTTGTGTTCTTTGTTTGTTTGCTGTAGCAAAGTTCCATATTCAATTAAACTAGTATTTTTTGAGATGAGAAAACTTGTGTTCACAGGTTGGTTGATCAATGTGATTGAGATTCAATGTTATTTTTATTATAGCAGCATAAACATTTGCTGTTAATTTAAAACTGAAGAATCCAGTCCCACATGTTTTAAATACCTTGCTTTAAACCACTCTATGTGAATAAATACAATGGTTATAGAACAGAAAAATGATCATGTGTGCACACACACATGCCCACACATATGGGGACAAAGTGGCCTACACATTTAGAGAGTGTAAGCTATTGTATGGTGTAAATTGATCTCTCCTTAATTTGACCCACAAGGGACTAATTGATATATCTACCTATCTATATGTATAGATATATAAATTCTCCATTGAGGGGGAAATTTTAGACTTGTTTTGCTACTATATTTCATTCCAACTGCATTCATTATGCCACTCATATCTATTCAAAATATATATATATATCTGCTCCTCAAATTAAGGAAAAGATAGTGACAGTCTTATATGAATGCCTAAAATTTCCATTTAAAAATATTGCTCTCTGGCTTACTTTTTAAAAAATTTATTTAGATGTCACTGAATTTTTATAATTATACAGCTTGAATATCATTAGTGATTTGTAAAAAGCTTCAGTTAAATGGTGATATTCTGTAAATACAGATATACATGTCCATTCGCATTGGAAGCACCAATGCATTTATAGACCTATTGGCTTCACCTTGAGCAGAAGAAGCTGAGAAGACATTTATATGTTATCCTCAGCTTCTCTGTTTCCTGCGTAGAGGAGAAAGGAGACTATATTGAAGATTGTTAAAACAACATTGTTTAATCTAGGACAAGAGAAAAGCTTCCAGTCTACTGGGGAATCTAAGTACCAGATCCTACCCTTGTATTGGTCCTTACTCAAAGTTTCTTATGAATGCTCTTCTTTATTAACAAAGAATTGTGGTACAGTGACTTTCCCAGAATCTACTAAGCCTTCTCTTAAATCACTGCATATAGATAGGTATAGAAAGAAAATTACAGGTAGATCAGAATATTTCCAAAACTATATATAATAAAATGTGCATATATCCCAATGATCTATTCTTATAATTTTCCAAACTATTTCCCACACCATAGCTAGAATGACCACATCATTCATCCCTTATCTAAAATACTGTAGTGATTTTGAAATATTCTTAGAATAAATATGAAGTTTATCAAGCATGGTCTATTAGGAGCTGTATGGTGTGAACCTTTCCTATTTCATCTGGTACTCTACTCCTTGCTTTAATTTTACTTGCTCAAATTTTACTATTTTCTTTCAACTTCTGTAACACACTAGAACTCCCCCTCCCCCACCATCTCAGGGCTTTTGCCTATTTTGTTTCTGCAGAAAAGCTCCTTGACCACCCTGCAACTCTTTGACTAGTTAACTCTATTCGTCTTCCTGTTAATTTGTTACTTTGTCTTAATTTGTCTATCTTTCTTACACTTGGTCCTCCCAGACTTGGTTAAACTTTCCCCCAAATACCTATCATTTTGTAATTCTTTTTTAGCTGTAGTTTACATTTAAAAGTGTGATTTCTTGATTAAGGTGTCTCCCTACTTTGGACTACAAAGTGCATGAGAGTAGGGAATTCTGTCTGCTTTTTCTTGCCATGGTATTAGTATCCTTAGTTCTATACAGTACCTGACACATAGCTGTCATTCAGGAAGTATTTTTTTTTCAATGAGAAATGAATAAAATGAGTAAATGAATACATTTCATATTTATTTTGTATTTTCTCATTCTTATATATATTAACACATGCATTAATTGAGCTTGTTGCAATTTTGAAGAAATTTTATGATTCCTTCTAGGAACCTGCTTTTGTATTTTAGTATTTCTAGATCAAGAAGTTCTTTTTTTACCAAGCTGAAGTTCCTATTGCTGAAATAAAAACTCATTAAAAAAAATCAATTCCAGTAGCTGGAAAGAACAACTTGATACAGTATTTGTGCTTTTATCAGTAGAACACATTTTCTAACAACATCTCATTATCTTATTTTTCTTTTAATTTTGATTTTAGGCCATCTTTCAACTCAGTGAATCTTTAAGGATATGGGATATTGACAGTTTTTTGTTTCTTTATTTTTTAAGGACTTGAATTGGCATTGCAAACCCCAAGGTAGTCCTAAGTGCCATAACTTCTCTGCTGACATCAGTTTTACCTTCTGGGAATCAGATATTAGCAAGTACTTGCCTGCATCCTCTGAAGGCTCCCTTTGTCCATGGGGCCCCTCGGAAAATAGGACCACTGCTAATTGAAATATTTTGAGTTTCTCAGATTGTCCTGGTGCTTTCTTAGCAGGAATGAAGGGGGTTTCCTAAGGAGATTGGAAGTCTCCTCTTACACACACACACACACACACACACACACACACACACATCGGCAATCTTTGTCCCCTTTGACAGCTGGTGGCATCTTTCTGAAAAGCTTTCAAATCATAGATCATTTCTTCATAATGAAACCTGTGTGGCTCAAATACAGTGGGTTGAAATTCTTATCTTATGCTGTGGTAAATACTCTAATTTAGATTCACAGAAGGATTCTATACCCTTTACTTAGGAGAGCTGTGCAATTTGCTCATAAAAAGACTGTTCAGCACCATTAGTGCATACCATAAGTGTTCAGCAACTTCATATTCATTAAACAACACATCCTTATGCATAACCTTTTCAACCTTGAACGTGTTTTTTTCCCTTTGAAGAATGACAAATGACAAAGGGGTGAAGGAGCCCTCCAAGCAACATTGTTGCCTTTAAGGATGAACTTGAGAACTTTAGCTTGATCCCCTCAAAGGGAGAAAAAAAAATCAGATTCAATCCTTTCTTACCTGAGGCAAGGCAGATTTTTTTTTCCCCCTCTTTCTGTAGAACTCATTCCATGGCGAAGAGAACAACTCTTAAATTCAGAGACAGGTCTTTACACAATAGAAAAGTTTTAGGAGAGCAATGATTGGAAAATTCCTTAAATAACACTTATTAAGCACCTACTATGTCTTAGGTCCTGCATTAGTCACTGAGGGTAGAGATAACCAGTATTATAGAAAATTAACACAACCTATACTTTCTAATCTTTGGTATTAAATATCATAGGTTTCCTAGCTTGAGCAGATAGATTTGGTAGGGGTAAGGGGGCGGGGAGAGGAGGAATATGGTAAAAGGGTGAAGATGGGGGTAGTTCTGCTTTTTGTTTTGTTTTGTTTTAAATTAGAGCAAGAGGGAAGAATGAGAATTTTATTAGTGATAATACTTTTTCTTGGCAGGGGCAATGACTAACTCTGGTGCTCCTTCCATTGATATTCTGTTGTGTTCCTAATGCTCACAGTAACCTCCAGTTATTGTCCCAGATCTTTAAGTGTCTTAAGGTAGTCCCTTTCTAAATCTGCCCTCTCCCTTTCCCCAATTCATTCTGACTTTTCTCAAACTTGTGAGATATCTTCTCACTTCCATTTTAGGTACACCTGAGAGCCTGGCAGAAAAAGAACGGCAGCTCTCTACAATGATTACCCAGCTGATCAGTTTACGGGAGCAGCTCCTGGCAGCGCACGATGAACAGAAAAAACTGGCAGCCTCACAAATTGAGAAACAACGGCAGCAAATGGACCTTGCTCGCCAACAGCAAGAACAGGTGAGCCCTGCAAAAGGAGCTGATGAGCTGGAGATGTGGAATGTGCCAAGCTCAGCGAGTAATCACATTGATTGGTTTATTTGTCATAAGCATTCCTAAAAAAAAAAAAGAAGGAAAGAAAGGAAGAATCCTTCTAAAATCCAGGGTTTTCGGAATACTGAGGTGATATGTGGAGGACAAAAAAAGGCATCATAGCAACTGGGCAAAACTGAAGTGATAACATTGTTCCAGAACATTTGGATTTGATTAATTACTTAGGGATTTATTCACATAGACATCACGCGTATTCCTAGTATAGCTTAACCATGAGTAAGTTGCTTCTCTTCAGGCCTTACTCTTCTCATCCAGAAAAGGAGAGTTCTGGTCTAGAAAAACTTTGAGGATCTTTAAGCTTACTGGTCCAATGATTTTCTCCAACTTTAAAGCTGGGGTGATTATAGGTCTCAGTTTTCCCAGAGTAGCCCTGGCTAGTGCCTGTTTTCCAGAGTAATTATTAGTAACCCCCTATTCCACTTGCAAAAGTTGTCGCAGTTTGAATGATAAATTATATAAATTATATGGTCACTCTATTTATAGCATAGGTAAGTCATTGAAAACAAATTAGCACATGGCTCCTCTAAGAATTTGATTTCATTGATTTAGATGTGAGAAAGAAGAAAGGATAGCAAAGTTTAAATGTATATCTTTTAAAAAATAAATCACTTTCCCAAAGGTTTTTCCTGTCTCATAAGAGTACATTAATCTAACAACAATGATCCTGTAGAGTAATCCCTGATGCTTTAGATCAGATGGACCCAAATTAATGTGCAGTTTTTAGGAATCTGACATTATTACTGGAATTATCTTTTCAGTTAAATGTATTTTATAGGGGTATATAGAGCAATATATGCTCTGTTGATTTTAATGAGTTGTGACGTCTGGTATTTTATATGCTTGAATATTTGCCCACACGTAGGAATATGGACTCAGCCCCTAATGGAAAATAACATAAAGGAACACTGTAAAAAATCAGAAGTTAGAATGTCATTTAGCCATCCAGAGATGACACAGTAATTAACTATTGACACTTGTGAATAAGCTAGCACAAATTAATCTTGACACATTTGCAGACGAGTGATATCTTACAGTGAACACTTTGTAATTATATTTCAAAATGAAAATTAAATGACACTTAAAACTAGGTTGTCATGCTCAATGAAGCGAGCATGTAGCTCAACCGATTGGCAAATAAAATTCAGAATTTGAGCCACATGGTGCTTATGTACCATACTTCACTGTGTCAAACCCATACGTCTAGATGATAGTAATTGCACTGTGGTGTTTTGGGTGCATTTCTATGCAGCACTTTATCATTTAGGAGGGACCATCAATATTAGATGCCTAGTAGTGTTTCACTCGTTTGCTAAGAGGAAATAAATATTCAGAGGATCCAGCATCTATACCTAGAGTTGCCGAGTTGTCCATTTCTGATTTGAATGGTGACAAGCAGACCGGGCCTTTTCCAATCTGATTAGACACTGTTTCCATTTTGCTTAAGAAGCTTTGGGAAGGAGTGGTCCCATCTCTCAAATTCTAGCCTGTGATAGGGGCAGCTTTATCATGAGTTCCAGTATGAGCCAGTCATCACCAGAAACCACAAAAGCAACATTTGGGAGTAGACTGCTATTTTTTATCTTGGGCTGAGTGAAATGTGATTTGGGTGTTTCCCTCTGCTCTAGGCTGAAGCATCAAAAAGACTCAAGAAATACACAGCAGGGGGCTGATCCACATTCATTTCCACTTCCAAGATTCTAGAATATAGGCTTTTGGAAGTAGAAGAAATAGGAAGGAAAAAACCCGTAACTCTTGCCTGTAGGGCACTACTAAACCAAGTTCTTCTAAGTAGTCTCTGGCCACTTTTCCATCTGGCTTCCTATGTGGGCAGTGAGTGTGTTCTCATAATGGGCATCTCCCGGGGCTCCAGCTTTTGAGGCGAGAGGCAGCCTGATGCCTAACTCATGTTTTATAGTAAATAACATTATGCTGAAGAAGTTGTTTGCTCTTCTGAGGGGCAGATTCAGTCCTCAATAGGGCTTGCATTGAGTGGTTAATATTTCTTTTTATAGACCAGATGGTGTGTTCACATGTTGAATCTGACTGTTGGACGAAGGAAGGGAATGTAAAACTTGTATTTGGATCCTGAACTTTAAAATTAACACATTACCCTCAAAAGGATAAATATTAAATTTTGTTTTTAAAAAGTGCTTTGTACCTGTGACATCCACAACAACAACCAAAAAGATTTCTGACTTTTTGCTGCTTTTTTGGCACTCCCTTGACAATATTTGTAAGTTTTATCAGTTCTGGAAATCTTTCCTTCAGAAAAGGTTTCCCCAAAGTAGACCATAAGTAATAGAAAGTTCTTTCCCGGCTTTGCTTACAGATTGTACTTTTTATATCCAAATTAAGCTCTTGCAAAAAATGTAGCCAGAATTTTCCTGTCTTTATTCTCCAAAGATCAGATTTCGACATTCCCATTCTTTCTAGATGACCAGTGCAGATATGGATGAACTGCTCACAAGTGTCATACAAGGGGTACTGTTCACCTATAGAGAAAGATTTAGGCGGTAAGCAGAGAGGTGGCACCTGTTTGAAATTTTTCATTTTCTCCAACTTACCAAGTCTGCCTCTCTCATTTTATAGGAACTCTTTCACACAGAAGTGCAATAAAGCATTCTTGTCATTCCGTGAGAGCTACCTGGGTAATGGCAAAGGTGCAAGCATTTCATTTGAACTTAATGAAACTTTGTTTCCGATAGATTGCAAGACAGCAGCAGCAACTTCTGCAGCAGCAGCACAAAATTAATCTCCTGCAGCAACAGATCCAGGTCAGTGTGTTTTATTACTCTCGGCTGATTGTACTTAGAGACTTTCCTCCTTGCAAATGGAATTTAAAATGCTGCAAATGTGCCCCAGTCTCTTGTCAACAGCACCGACAGGGTTGTTCCTCAAGGATGTTGTATACAGTTGTATACGTGGATGTAGGAAACATTGACCATGACGCGGTGGTCTAAGCATTTGGATGTGAGGCATACACAGAACAAACCTTATCTCTTTCTCCTTTTGCCATTCGCCCAGCGCTCACCCAGTAGAAACCCAAATGGTCTCAAAGGTAGCACACGCGTGCTGTTTTTATTGCCACATACCACTTTCTGCTTTGTATTCTACCACCTGATGGCATCACAGGGAGAAGCTGACGCTGATTTGCTTATCAGGACTGTCTGATTGGGTCAGTTATGAGAAGAGTCTTACAAGCTGGGAAAAGATTGATAATGATTAATTTGGTCTTTAACAAATATTCACTGCATTTCTGCTGGGTGCTGAGGGGAATAGAAAGATCAATGAATAATTATGTGTCTTTAAGGAGCTTATAGTCCGGAAAGGAAGAAACACTTGTTCCTGAATAATTGTGACACAATTTTAAAAATCCCTTCTTTGTTGTGGCAATGTAACAACACGGTACATAGATCACGATTACAGTGGCCTGGGAAGGAATTCTGATTGCTGATGTTCCTTTAGACACCTGATGGTTGATGTAACTAACAGCTATCTGAGATAGGTAAGGGAAGTGGCATCCATTTTTGAAAAGGAACATGGATATGTGACTTCTAGAAAACCTTAGAATACAGACCTGGTTGTCTGGTGATGAATCCTGAGGAATCCTCATCCCAGATTTCTGTCTCCCCGCCATGGCCTCTGAGCGTTCTCTTGGTTGCTGTGGATGTTTTCTATCCTCTGCAATCTGTGTTGCAGCCTAGGGGGGGCGGTATATGTGAATTATGGTATTCCTTTGCTTGCGTTTACTATTACACCTTCCTGTCTTTTTTAAAAAACCATTTGCATAAAGTCCTAGTTTACTCGTCTGCTCTTTCATTGGTGAAAGCCAGTGATTTTAACGTGGAGCCTTGCTTCATTTGTTAATCATGCTTGGTGTTCCTTTTAAAGTACCACCTTGGTGTCTGAGGAAGTCCCTGTACCTCGTCTGGCATTTTGTCCAGTTATCTTCACTCAGAGGTTTTCGCCAGTGGCTTCGTTGTTGTTGTTCAGTTCATTCTGATTCCATCTTCCCTACGCAAGGATGTATGTTTCAAAGTAAAGAGTCTAAATACAGGGGAGATGGAATGTCTCTGGCATTTTTGACAGTCAGCTTTTACAATTAAATCGTGGAATAATTTCTCCTCCTGATATCTCTTTTATGACTCATGCTGAGATCCTTAATTAAACAACTGTCCAGGTGTTCCTTGGTTCTGCCCTTATTAGAATTTTCAGTGTGTCTCCTACTGCTAAGGTCAAGATTTTTAGCCTGTGGTTTCCTACATTTTTCTCGAGATTCCTCTCTAAGAACTCAGTAGGTGTTAAACAACCTCATCATTTAGTTCTCTCTCTTTCTCCTATTTGTAAAGCAGGAATGGAAGAAGTTTCCTGAGATGTTCCCTGATTTATCAGTTACTTATTGTTAAGGTTTTTACTACATCTTTATTATTTACTTCTTTATTTATTTTCAGTGTATTTCACTTCTTAGTCCACTGTTGTTTGTATGAAGTGGCTGTCTTAATTGATGTTTGCTTTGTGGTACTGAGGGTGTCAGATGAATAGCAACCAAATCAGTTCAGAGCATTTTTATGAAATATTATTAGTATTTACTGATTGCATATGATTTTATGGTTATAACTTTACTATGTGAAATTGATGCCTTTTTTTCAAGAAACTATGGAATATGATGTTAAAATATTATTCATCAGAATGTTCAATTTGAGAATATAGGAAAACTGTTTTTTCAAGCTTTCTAATAGAAGTTTAATTGCTTTTAAAAGTGTGGCTATTTCTTATTGTTTAAATTTTTAAAAATTGAAGCTAATCAGCACTTGATCTCAACTGTACAAATTATAAAATCAGAGAGATTCAAAGTGTCAGAGTTGCATTCATTTTAGAAATACAGGAATCTTTGTAATAAGATTCATATTTTAAAAAATAACAGGAAACAATAACCTGTATTTATAGTTCATTCTGTCCTGAGCTACTGCATTACTTCATATCTTGTCAGTACTTATCAGTATAGACCATTCAAAAATTTTTTCAAATACTGAGAAACACTCCTTACACAAAACATACTCATCTCTGACACTTATGAAGCAGGTATTTGATATTCAGACTTTTAGTTATTATTATTTTTTTTTTAGAAAGGGAATGGGTTAGCTGTATTTTCAAATATGGTTTTTGACAAGCTATAGTCATGATTAAATTTAGAAGAGATTATTGTTGGGCTAATTTTAGTATAGTTTTTGAGCAAAATATGAGATTTAAGAGATGCCTCCAACACTTTTCTATCATGAAAGAAACATTCTCCCTTTTGAGAACAAACCAGAAGAGTAAAATAAGGTGAATGCAAACCTTCTTCTTAAAGCAAATGTATACAGAGACAATTTGAGCCAAGTTTGACCTTCTTTCTTTTTAAATCTTGAGTCCTAGAACCTGTTAGCTAACATGGTCAGCAAGATTAAGCCATGGCAATTGGCTATGGATCATCAGTATCAGGTGGTTACATTCAAGACTGCTCTCTACTTCTAGTTCAGAATGCTGACTTGTGAATCTGTCTTGTTGTTTTGGAATTTGTAAGCTGTAATAGAAAGAAAGGGAAAGAGTGTCTAACCTCTTGTAATAACCACACACCAACACATCTGGGCCTATTATAACCAAAACAAATGAAAACCCGAATGGTTTACAAAAAATGAAAAAAGCAGGATTTTTCCTTAGAGATCAGAAAAGGCATGATGAAGACAGTATTGTAAAAGTCCCATGCTTCTTTTATGTGAACTCATACAGAACATAAATGTTTAGTTAAAAACCCTTTCATTTATATATTTTTCTTCTTTAAATATAATTTTTGACATAATTTTGCCTTAACAAATTCTAACTACATTTTGAAAGAGATACCATGTAAGCTGTGTTTAGAAAGTAAGATGATTTTTGTGAACCAATGTTTTTATATTTTTGATGAGTCAATTTTTGCCATTAAAAAATCAGGGTAATAACTTTAAATGATTATTAAAATGCTTTAATACTAACAGATCTTTTAGGAGGCTGTTTGCTTAGTGAATTCAAATCCCTCTGTTTGTGCTTTGGGGAAAATGGTGATTCCTCTAATTTGTTTCAGATTAAGTAATTCCCCCGATATAGAGCCCAGAAAAAGTTAGACATTTTTGATATTTCCAGGACAGAAATAGCACAGTTTTCATCAAGTCTATGGAAAGCCAAAATAATAGATGCTGGAACGTGGGTCCTTGGAATTGGGAATGTTGGTTCTCGTGCTTTAATTCCAAAAGACAGATAATTGCTTCGGTAATGTCATCTTCCTTGTTCCACTGCTGCACTCGAGTATATTAGCCAGTCTTTGGAAGCATTTTATTTATAAGTTATGTTGACCAGTCAACAAAATTCACTTTTAATCCATTGGGCATATCAAAGTATATGTACAGTGTTTTAATGAACTACTAAATGGAAGGCTAGTCTAAGCAAAGGAGAAAATACTTTATAAATCCTGCTTTCTTGGTCCATCCATAAATTTATTTATCCAACCTCAGCTGACCATGTCATGGTTCTTGAATCTAGAGAAGATAGTCTTCATGGACACGACATACCACATTCTTTGGTTTCAAAAGCGCGTTATTAGGAACACATTTAATGATGGCATTTTGTTGCTAAAACGTAATGTTTGGAAGAGAATTGAGCTCATGAAGATATCTCGGTGAGAAACTTACTTTTCCAGACATGAACAGTATTATCTCCTTATTCACTTCTCTTCAAGCCCCAATCTTAGAGATTTTCAAGGGGCTTATATCGTGTGCTATATAGGCCGTGGCCTCTCCTCATATCACTGATGGAACCACAGTAGTCTCCTAACAATGGACTGGCTAGTTGGGGGATTATTTGGGCATTTGGCTTCCTGGGCCAGAGCCGATGATTTAGTGAATTCATCCACACATGCCTTTTTTAGTATAATTGTGAAACTTGAAATTCTTAGCTTTTTGTTAATCTTTATGACTTTTAATCCTTATGATGAATGTACAATATTCATTGCCCTTTCCTCATCATTTAATGCATGCATTAGATGGCAAACTCCATCTGTGGAAGGCCTGAACTAAATGCCCTTGCTGCTGCTTTCCACATACTCTTTGTCTCATCTGAAAGCTTTCTATTTTAAATGCTGTAATACAGGCTGCTTATTTACAAGTGTATTTCTCCTCAGTGAAGCCTCACTCTGTCTTGAGAGTATTTTTCATACACAGTATTTCCTGTTTTGACTATGATATATTCCTGTGTGCTTTTCATATATTTTGTGTGTCTCTGTGTGTCTGTCATGGGATAGAGCACCGTTCGGTAGGTGTTCTTCTTCTTCCTGTCTGCTAACCAGGAGAGATGTTGATATTATAAGAGAGGAGGTGATTATTCTTAAACCATTACACAGAATAATTTGAGATGTACTCTCATCTTTGAAGGAGATAAACCTTGTCTTTTGTTTCCTTAAGTATGATTAACTATAGGCATTTCAGGTATCTGCTGAGCAGAATAAGGACTACCTTTTTATGTGAAGTAGTTGTCTAAAGATCAGAAATAATTACTTTGTACATTAGCCTTCATGGCCTGTATGACCTGGTTAATTAATTTTTTGCTAGGATAATAATACTAGATATATATTTGAGGATATGGTTCATCATTAAGTATCTAAGTAACCTCTAATTTTAAGAGCTGGACCTTGGCATTTATTGTCTTTTGGAGATGGCTGCAGAAGCTGACACGAGCCTGATGAAAGTCAGGAGCCCTCCAGTCT